AAATGAATGAATAAAATTGAATAAAATAATTCTTTTTAAAAAAAAGACTAATTGTCTTACAGAAAGCATACAAAAGTTTACACAATAAATGAGAAAAACCTATCTAAAAGAATGGATACCTGGTTTAGGATAGTTTTTATTTTTTTTAATTTTTATTTTTTAAAGAATTATTTAATTTTATTCATTACCATCATTTCTAAATTTTGCTATAGGGCACATGCACTCTTCAGAAAGAAAGAGAGGCAAAGTGAGAAAACAAACCACCAGGTCCAGGACTCAAACAGCAGTAGGCCATGTGGGAGCCCAGCGTCCTTAACAACCATGCCAACTGTTGGCCCCCATTAGGATAGTTTTAAAATGTGAGCTATAACAGTACTTGGTCATCTCAAGTACTTCAGTTAAAAGATGAGCTCCAGGACCAGCAGATGGCACAATGGTTACATTGCGGGACTCCCACAGTCAACCAGTCCTGAACCCAATGGCTTAAAACTCATACTGGGCATGTGTGTGTGCGGGCCCAAGAACCCAAGAGGAAATAGAGACGGGATTGTGGAGTGACCACCTCCCCTGCCCCCGCTGATTTCTCGCTTTCTCTTTGTCTCTCCAATGAGCCCACAAGCCCTATAGCAAAAATCTCTTTAAGAAACAAAAAGCTCAGAAGACTAGTAGTTCAGAAATGCATGCTGATTGAGCTTAAAATAATTTTGCTTATGAAAGGCAATTGAGAAAAAGGATTTTAAACTTAACATCTTAAATGCGCTTTAAAAATATTTAATCTCATTTATTATTATAATTATTATTTTAACTTGATCAGAGAGGGATGGAAAACAAGCAAGCTGACAGGTCTGGGACTTGAACTGCAACTGGCCACGTGGGAATCCAGTGTCCTTAACTACCTAGCCAGCTGCTGGCCCCAATGCGGCTTTTTTTTTTTTAAATAATTAATTTTAATTTTTTATTGATTCATTTATTTATTTTTATTTGACTAGAGAGAGACACAGAGAGAGAGGGAGCGGGAGCGGGAAAGTGAGAGAGCAAGCCACCAGGTCCGGGACTCAAACCATGGTCAGCCATGTGGGAGTGTCCAGCGCCTTAACCACCAGGTCACCTGTTGGCCCCCAACAATGCGTTTTTAAAAATAATTTTAAATTTAGCTTCATTTATTTAAATTTGACCAGAGATTGGGACCAGCAGTTAGTGTAATGGCTATGTTGTTGGACTCCCACCTAGTCGACCGTGGTTCAAGTCCCAGAGCTGGTGGCTTAAACTCACGCCGGGTGCGTGCCCAAGATCCCGCGAGGAGAATGGAGAAGGGATTGTGGTGTGACTATCCCCCCTGGGGGGTGATTTCTCGCTTTCTGTCTCTGACGAGCGCACGCTCCCTATAGCTAAAACCTCTCCCCAAAAAAAGAAAAAAAAGAAAAAAAAAAGAAAAAAGAAATTGACCAGAGATGGAGAAAGAGTAAGCAAGTCACCCGGTCCGGGACTTGAACTGCAGTCGGCCATGTAGGAGTCCCTAACCATCACGCCACTTGCTTTTAAATATGCACAAATATTGATTATAAGTATTTGGGTTTTTTTTATTCTAAGAATGAACTTTATGTAGCCTAATAAACCCAGACTTCCGAGTTTTGATAGAATCGGAGTCTCGGTGCTGGGAAGGTGCCGTAACGTGGGGGGTTAAATGACACAATTTCTACGTGCTGAACTCCCTCAAAACGTGGCAGAGCAAAGCCCGTAGAAAGGAGGGAAGTAAGGGTGCCTCCGCACGGCCTCTCCGGAGCTAGAGAATCCAAACAGCTGAGGGAGTGGGCGCTGCACGGACACTTCGGTCTCCCCGTCAGGACACAGGGACAGGCTGACCGACATGGCCGACGGGGAGACCCGCGTGGTCCCGAAGCCGGAGGGATGCCGGTGGCTGTGACGCTCGGCCTGAGGTAGGACCACGGGTGAGATATTTGACTTCAGTGTTGCTGTTTATGGAAGATTATTTCGGAGGTTGCCTGACCCTTGACAGGGTCTCCCCATGTAGGGGTCCCGCCCCAGACTCCGGCTAACAGGCTCAGGTGTGAGCCACAGCACCCAGCCCCAGGTGGGGCTGAGGAGACAGGGCAGCCCAGACTGGTTTCAGTCAAGTCCGGTCCCAGAACCTTAACAAAGGAAATGCAATCCCCTTTAAATCCAAGAACAGGGCCGAGAATGGGTTCAAGATCATTTTTATTTCCAGAGCCTGCAACCGTTGGTAAGCAACGCTGGCCAAGCCGGACGCTCTGAAGGCCACCCGCCTCCCTCTTCAGGCATTCAACAGGCTCCTTACAGGATGAGAGCAGCTGGCCTGAGTCTCCGTGAGTGCCAGAAGACGCCCCCTGGCCCCTTTCCCACATACTTCCCCAGCAGGATTGTTTCCTAGACAGATGCAACTCAAACCCGTAACACAGCAACGAGCCCCTGCAGTGGTAGATTCCCTCCCCACTCCGGAACAGCGAGCTGGGGTAGGAGGGGAGAATGACGCACGAGAAAAACCTGGCTACACCCCAACGGGCCTGTCTACACTCCATCAAGCCAGCCCAGCTCCCTGCGTGGGAGGTGTTCCCGTGAGACCCCTATTTCCATGGGGCTGGGTAAGGGGGCAAGTGGTGACGATTCATCACTCTGTCCCTCTAATTAAAACATGATAATCCTAGAAAGTTCTACCTCTGAGATGCACACTCCCTCCTGAGACGCTCTGCAAGTCTCTAAGCCAGCATCACACACCTCCCCAGTGCCCAGGGCTTCCAGCTGCTCTCCCCGCCCTCGGGTGGTCCAGCCAACATTGATTTGACACTCTCTGATTCATAAAATGACTGTTTTTGAAAAATTAAAACAATAGCTATCAAAGAGCATCACAGTAATAGGACATTCGGTGGATGTCCCCCCAGCCCACGGAGCCCACCCATTCCCACCCCCCACCCTGGAATACCTATCTACAAGGTTTCAGCACGGACCTGCGGGGGCCCAGGAAGCTGCCTCAAGTGCTTTCCTGGCTGTGAGCCTACACCAGCCAACATCTCAGGGAACTGGGAGAAGAGCGGGATCCTACACCCCCAGCAGACCCCACGGTCAGAGGTGGGCCTGGGAGGTTTAGCTTATGTCCTGCAGCCAAGCAGCGTCCAGTGACTGCTCCGTCAGGATCTCGGTCCTCTTTATATAGCAGCAGCCCCAAACCGCAGTGCCACCTGGGGTGACAGGGCTCCTAGCTCTCTGCCCCACACGCACCACCTCTTCTTGCCTTTCCGTCATTCCTTACTCCTTTCTTTCCTTTTTTTTTTTTTTTAAATTAGAAGTAGAGGTAGTCCCAGGGATGGTAAAACCCTACCTAGAATGGCAGTATTTTGTCCTAATGAAGCAGTAAAGTAAAAATCTCCAGGAATTAACAGAAAAATAATAAAATAAAGTGATTGATGAATAAATTAAAGATACAGGTTATCCCACAAAGACTTTTCCTTCCGGGCTGTCTTTGGTATCTGGTCGGCAGCATTTCCGCTTGTCACCTCTCCTCTCGTCCCCCTCTTCCTAGAGAAGGACCAGAGGGGAGTAAGGCCCTGGCTGCTTTATCCAACGTGGGTGGTGAGACAGAAGAGCCTGACGTGGTCCTCAAGACTGCTATGGCAGTGACGGCCTTGATGACAGTTCTCATGTGAAGGGACATCTTACAGGGTCCGAGGAGATGCGGCAGAGCAACCCTGGGCTCCAACCTCGGGAGTGTGGGAGGTAGGTTAAGGCACGGACGCCCCAGGCCTTCCTGCCAAATGTCATGGAGCCGGCCCCTATGCTCCAGGTTCTTGGCAGCAAAGGGGACGGGGAGGGTGGCGAGAAGTCCTCAGAGCTTCTTCAGGCGGCTGTACATCTCCCTCTTGCTCTTCTCCCCTGCCCAGGTCCGGCTCTTGGTGCGGAACTTCTTCAAGTCTTCTTTAAAGTCCTCATGGTGCATGGGTCGGTAGCTGGGGGGCTCACAGTGAGACTGGGGGGACAGGGGAGGACAAGGTTAGTCCCTTCTGCCTTACCCTCGGTCTGGCCCCCTTCCTGCACAGACACAGGTAGCAGATTCTACAGGGACCTTCCTGTGCACGGCAGAGGCCACCACATCCCCCAGACTACTGGCAAAAATAGCCACACCCACCGGACGGCCCCCCAGGCCCAGCAGACACGCCCCCTCACCTGGCACTTCAGGAAGAACTCCTTGTAGCCCCCCTTCAGGACATACAGCTCAGGGTAGTGGAGTTTGGGGTACTCATTGCCAAGCCGATCTCGCTCTCTCACATACCGGCACCTGGTCGGAGGGACAGACAACCAAAGCAGGTCAGGTCCTCGGACACAGAGAAACAGATGACAGCTCAGCAAGGCAGAGGCGGGGTGCGAATGCTCCACGCTCACACCTTCCCAGCTCTGCCTTTACTCTTGGAATCACTTGGCGCCAGCCCCGAGTTCCTGTGGTCAGGGATGAGTGGTACCATCTCACTCAGATCACCCGGTAATGTGTGGACGGTTTGTAGCAACACAGGGCAAAGTTCTCACCTTTTTATTTTTTTAAAGGCTTTTGCTATAGGGAGCGCCATTACAACAGAAAGAGACAGAAAACGAGAAATCACCCCCCAGGGGGTATGGCCACACCACAGTCCCTTCGCCTCCATCCTCCTCTCAAGATCTTGGGCACGCACGCACACACACCCAGCATGAGTTTAAGCCACCAGGTCCAGGACTCGAACTGCGGTCGACTACATTATGCATAATGGCTACGTCGCTGGACTCCCATGTAGTCGACCGCGGTTCAAGTCCTGGAACTGGTGTCTCAAACTACGTGTGCGTGCGTGCCCAAGATCTTGAGAGGAGGATGGAGGAGAAGGGATTGAGGCATGACCACCTTCCCTGGGGGGTGATGTCTCCCTTTCTCTCTCTCTCTCTCTTTAGCGAGTCCTATAGCAAAAATGTCAACAAAAAACAACAAAGGCCAACAGAAAGGTGCTCAGGTCTAAGAGACTGGACGGGGGCGGGGCTCAACCTGGCCAACACCAGCGTGGCACGGGGCTGACTACGGAGCCTAGAAATCCTTTCCAACCGAAACCGTTATGTCAAGTCTGCAGACGCCACTTGAAGAAATCATGAGGTGGAAAACACAGAACTCGGGAAAACACCCGTTACACACGCGTCTGTACTCTCACGAAACCACAGGTTCTCACGTGGCGTGCGCAGGCTAAGCACGGGATGACCTGCGCCATTGAAGGTGTTCCACGTGCTAACACGCTCCCGGAACCAGCTGCACACCAGCACGTCCCACAGACGTACCCTGGTCTGTCCCGGAATCCAGCTCTGTGCAGTACTCACATGCGCGGGCCTCGCTCAGAAGAAAACTCGCAGTGGAACACGACGATGACACGCTTGCCATCAGTCGGCACGATGGGCTTCTTGAGCAAGTAGTCTTCGACCTCTTCTTCCATGTGAAAGTTCACCGCACCCTGTGAAGGCATAGGAGACCCTTGGTACCCACACATCTCACGCCTGAACCAGGACTTGGCGCGTGCTCTTTAAGCCCACGTGACCAGTTTGTGATGCTGCAGGTCCTGTGGCCCAGCAGCCCACTTGGCATCTATCTCTCCACTGAACCTCAGAGAGCTAAGTGCGTGGCCCAGGCAGCAAAATGCGCAGGACTGGAAGTGGGCACCTCAAGGTCTGGGATACAACCGAGGTGCACACTGTGAGTAGGATCTGCAAACGTGGAGACCTTCGAAAGCACCAGGACAGTGGCAAACGGACCCTGAGGTTACAGTGCCCTCTTACCACATTTAATTACGACCTCATTGGGTGAGATATCTAAAACGTATAACCAGCCCTCTCGTTCAACCATGTGTCCTAACACATCGCTCTGCCAGGCATCTGGGATGTGCTGCCTGAGAAGGCCTTCTTCCAGCCAGGAGTCCGAAGCGTTCAGACACTCGTATATGGGCCTCGTGTGCTTGTCATAGGGCACACTGCTCACTGGGGACAGAGAGGAATACCCGCCTCCAGGTGGGACAGCCATGCCACAGTCAGCCATGCAGGATCCACTTCCCTAGTCTTCATACCATTGTTTGGTCCTCCCAACGTTTCTTTAGAAAGTGGTGCCCAGGGCCAGATAATGGACTCTGACATGGCTGTCCGCGGTTTGAGTCCCGTACCTGGTGGCTTGGAAGTCATACCTGGGATGTGCATGTACATGCCCAAAACCCCAGGAGGAGAATGAAGGGTGAGGAAGAGACTGGGGCAGGGCCATCCCCGCTGAGTGGTGATTTCTCACTCTCCCTCTCCCTCTCCAGTGAGCAAATGTGCCCTGTAGCAAAAATCTCTCAAATGAAGTGTTTCTGGGGTCAGCAGGTAGTGTGGTAGTTAGCACTGGACTTCCACATGGCTGACCACGGTTCAAGTCCTGGACCTGGCAGCTTGCTTTCTCCCTTTTCTTCTGTCTCACTCTGTCCCTCTCTGGTCAAATTAAAATAAATAAATAAAGATAAATAAAATAGGGGCCGGCAGGTGGCATGGTGGTTAAGGACGCTGGACTCCCACATGGCTGACTGCAGTCTGACCCCCAGACCTAGTGACTTGCTTTCTCACTGCCCCCACCCCATGAGCGTATGTGCCCAAATTAAAGAATAATAACCATGGCCACCGCGTGAGATCCAGCTCTCTCTGGAGCAGTGGGTGCATCACTGCTGCCGTGCAGCTGGGCCTGTATACTAGGCTTTCTTTTTAATTAGCCAGAGAGCATTTGTACATGAGAGGTGACATGAGAAAACATCCCTGAGGGGAGACAGCCATGCTACAATCTCTTCTCCTTTCCTCCTGTTGGGATTCTGGGCACACACACACACGTGGCTGGCTTGTTTAAGCTACTCAGTCCAAGACTCCAACTGCACAGTTGGCCACGTGGCACCCAGCCACCTTAACCTTGCCACCAGTTGGCCCCACAAGCCTCTTGATGCTATGGAGGCCTAGCCACGACGGCGCACTCGGAGAAGATGCTGCCCTCCGAAGGCCGAGTCCACACGGGAAGTCCAGGCTCGATTCTCGAGCCTGTAGGCTGATCAATCCCAGAAATGTAGGAGGCTGAGGCAGGATTGGGACACTCTCTAGAGAGACTGTGTCTTAAAAAACAAAACCAGGGGGAACCAGCAGTTAGTGTAATGGCTGTGTCGCTGGACTCCCACGTAGTCGACCGCGGTTCGTGTCCTGGACCTGGTGGCTTAAAACTCACGCCGGGTGCGTGTGCATGCGTGCCCAAGATCCCAAGAGGAGAATGGAGGAGAAGGGATTGCGGCATGACCATCCCCCCTGGGGGGTGATTTCTCGCTTTCTGTCTCTATGTCTCTGTCTGTCTGTCTGGCAAGCGCACGCGCCCTATAGTGAAAACCTCTCAAAAAAAAAAACCCAAAAAACCCCACAAAACCAGGGGCCAGGCTGTGGCGTGGGTTAAGGTGCTGGACTTCCACATGGCTGACCCTGGTTTGAGTCCCAGACCTGGCAGCTAGCCTTCTCATTCTCCCTGTCTCTCTGGTCAAATGGAAGAATAATAGTAAATAACTAAAATAAAAACAAACAAACAAACAAACAAAATAAACCAAAGCCAATCGCATAGAACCCTCTCTGGGCCCTTGCGTGATTTAGCCAGCAGTGGGTACCTCCACTTGATGGGGATGGCGTGAAGGACAGACGGGGAAGACAGCCATGGCGCGAGGTGGCTGGGACATCCTTGAAATCCTCACACCTGGCACGTGGGCTGGGCAGCCACGGGCACCGTCGCCTGTCGCCTCCAACTCTAAATCACAGATCGCACCTGGGGCTGCCCTGTCTCTCGGGACCCCTTACCCTGATGTGATGGCCGCCCACTCTAAATCACAGATCGCACCCGGGGCTCCCCTGTCTCTCGGGACCCCTTACCCTGATGTGGCCTCCCTCGTACTCATATGGGTACCGGCAGTCGATGATAACGAACTTTTTAATGAGGTTGGCAAATTTGCCATTCAGGACAGACGCCATCTGTGGAGAGAGAGCCATGCACAGTAACTCTGGGTGTCAGGAACGCCAAGATTCCAAGATGCCATGACCCACAGGCCCCAAAGGATGACTTACGATTTCTGGAGAGATGTACTTTAAATCTTGATGTTTCCCAGCAACTGTATGAAAAAGATAACTCTGAAAAAGAAACAAAAAGATACGCTAGAACCGGCAAGCCTGTCGTATTTAACGTGCACGCTGCTCGCCGGCTTAGCAGGGCCAACTTTAGGCAGACAGTAGCTCAACAGCCAGTGCGTGCTGGTGACTCTTCCAGACGTCTCACCAAGGTCCTACATCTCGTCCGCTCACAAACCGAAAACGCGCCTTATCCCCATTTCCTTCTTCTTGAGGGGCTTTTACTACAGGGCATGCAAGAGACAGAAAGTGAGAGACACCCCCCAGGGAGATGGTCACTCCACAGTCCCTTCCGTTCTCCTCTCGGATATTGGGCTTGCATGCATACGTGCCTGGCACGGGTTTAAAACCACCAGGTACGGACTTGAACCACGTTCAACTATGTAGGAGTTTTGCAACACAACCATTATGCCCTCTACTGGTCCCACTGATTCCCATTTTCTTCTTTTTAATTTTTCTATAGGGCATGTGTGCTCAGAGACAGAGCAAGTAAGAGGGAAAGTGAGAAATCATCCTCTTGGGGGATGGCCACACTGCAATCCCTTTTCCTCCACTCTCCTCTCAGGACTCTGGGTATGCACACACACGTCCTTGGCATGCTTTTCAAGTCCCAAGTCTGGGACTCAAACCGCAGTCAGCCCTGTGGGAATCCAGCGCCTTAACCACTATACAACCTGTTGCCCTTATTATCCCTATTTTCGGGTGTTACAACTGATCATCTTTTTATTTATTTATTTATCTTTAGTGTCTGCCATAAGGCATGTGCACTTGCTGGTGAGAGACAGACAGACACAGGGAGAGGGAGAAATCAGCTCCCAGGGGGATGACCACGCCACAATCTCTTCTCCTTTACTCTCTCAGGATTTTGGGCACCCACACACGTGCCTGGTGTGATTTTCAAACCACCAGGTCCAGGACCCAAACTGCATCAGCCACGTGGGAATCCAGCACCTTACCCACCATGCCACCTGCCAGCCCCCTACATTACCTTTTTTATAACTAGAAATACAAGGCCAGATTGTGACCTCATGGTTGAGGCAGCTAGATCCCAAATGGCTAGTCCAGCAGCTTGAAAAATGCACCAGGCATGTGAGCTGTTGCCCAAAATCCCAAAAGGAGAGAGATGGAAGGGGGACTGTGGTGCCCCATGAGGGGTGCCTTCTCACCTCTACCCCCACACATGTGCCCTCTGGCAAATTTAAAAACAACCAAAAACCAAAACATGGCTTCCTCATCTTTGCGCTGGAGTCGCGGTGGTGGGTGGCCAGCTCCCTACCGAAAACTGCTGGTCAGTATCAAAGTAGCAAGCTCTACAGGCCCAGAGACCAAGTCTGCCCCATCGTCAGTGTTGCACAACTGCGTCCTCTTGGAGGTACAGCTGGAATCGCCTTGGGGAGGGAGAAGGCTGAGGGGCGTTCTAGGCAGCCTCGCCCCCTGCATCACCAAGCCAGAGTAGCGGGGCTTGTCTGTTTGCAATTACCTTAGAGAAGTCTCCTATAAGGTCCCTTGGGTCACTGTCCAAAATATTCTCAATGGTCCCTTTTGGGGAAGATGCCAAGGATAATGACTGATGTAGAATCTGCAACAAATCGAAGGTGGAAAATGAGGCCAGGGTTCTGAACAGGGCTTCCAAAAGCATTCACATGGAGCCTGTCAGAAGGATGAGAGGTTACTGTCTATTTTTAGCAAACAAGAATATTTTTTCTTTTTTTACTTTTCTCTTCTCCAGGATTTTGGGCACACACATGCATCTGATGTGTTTCCAGCGGCCATGTCCAGCTCAAACCACAGGGGTGGTCAGGTGGGATTCAGTGCCTCAACCACAACACCTGCTGGTCCCTGGGACATTTTGGTTTTTGTTTATTTTCCCAGAAGGCAATGTGCCTGCCAGACAGAGAGGGCGAGGAGACAGCTCTCTCCGTGGGGAATGGTCAGGCTGCCCTTCTCCAATGTTGGGATTTGGGGCATACGTCCACACATTCAGAATGTTTCCTTTCCCTTCTTTTTTAAAAACGTTTTTGCTGTAGGGCAAATTCACTTGCCAGGGAGAGAAAGAGAGAGAGAGGAAAGTGAGAAAGCATCCCCCTGGAGGGATGGCCACCCTGTAATCCCTTCTGCTCCATTCTACATTTTGGGCAGGCATGCATGTGTCGAATGTGTTTAAGCCACCGGGTCTGGGATTCAAACCAGTCGGTCATGTAGGATTCAGCTGCTTTAACCACATCACCAGTTGGCCCCATCTGGTAAACTTTAAAAAAAAAAAAACTTTAAAAAAATTTTTTTTAAGGTTTTACCATAGGACTCATGTACTTGCTGGAGAGAGACAGAGAGACAGACACACACATACACGCGCCTTGCATGAGTTTCAAGCCACGGGGTCCAGAACTCTATACACATGCCTTATATGAGTTTCAAGCCACGGGGTCCAGAACTCAAACTGCAGTCAGCCACGTGGCAGTCCAACAATGTAACCACTACACCACCTGCTGGTCCCCGAATGTTGAGAAAGTAAACAATGCATTAAGCTTAGATGTTTTCTTAACAGTCTCCTATCTAATATTTAAAAGGACCAATATTTGAGACCAGCAGATGGCATGGTGGTTAAGGGTGCTGGACTCCCACATGACTAACCATGGTTCAAGTCCTGGATCGGGAGGCCTGCTTTCTCACTTTCTCTCGCTCTCTCTGGTCAAATTAAAATAAATAAATAAAGCTAAATAAAATAATAAGGAAAAAAAGTTTATTCGTTCATTTCCTGAGACAGAGAGACACACACACAAAAGGTCTTCACAGAGCGATCTTTCATCCAACCCTGCAGCCAACCACGAGTGCCGGAGACAGGCTCATGGGCACCCTGGGGCATCCGGGCACCCTGCGTCTTCCTATGTGGCCTCCAGCAGCACACAGCAGCAGCTCTACTGCCAGGGCCACCGTGGCTGAGCCTTAACACCAACCTTAATTTCAGGACAGTACGGTGATGGGAAAGACAGCCAGGCGAAAGCAATGCTAAATAAGCCAAACACAACACTTCAGGAAACAACAGCTTTGAAATCAGGAACGAACTGAAGACAAAGCACACGAAGTTAATAAAAGTGGAGAATGAGAGCTGAGACACAGGTCAAATGGGCTAAAGCACGCAGTCCAGGACTCGGCTCCGAGAACCGGCGCTGCGGCCGCTGCTCCCCCGAGAAAGGCTCGCGGTCGGCAAGGAAGGAAAGGTGCCTAGACCTCTCTGGGGTGGAGCGGCACACACAGATACCACTTCTCTCACATCGAAACAGCAAGCCCCCTCGGGACAGGGACTTCCACGGCCGGAAGGTCCTGGGTAACAATATAGTGGAGCCAGCATGTGGTGCAGTCGTTAGGGTGCTGGACTCCCACATGGCTGACTCACGTTTGAGTCCCAGACCTGGCAGTTTGCTCTCATTTCCCTCCCTCCCCCCTCTGTGTCTCTGGTGTGTGTCCCGGTAACAAATATAAAACATAATAAATTAAATGAAAAATTCACTAAAGTAAATAAATAAATGTAGTAAGTATGCATAGCATTTTCTCTAGAACCTTTACTTGTTTCCCCAAAATGAACACGCGAGTATGGTGAATATTGCAACGGCTGATCTTCGTCAAACACTGGCAATAGACTCAATCTAGCATAGATAGCCATAAGGATTTTCATGCAATTAATTATTAAGAACGAAACCAGAAGCCCTAAGAATAGCCTGCTTTCACCGACAAAGGACAGCCTGTCGAGGCAGAAAACCTCAGACAGTAATCGCTCTATTCCAGTCAAGCACCATGGAAAAGGATGGCCCTGTTCCATGGCCACTGGCAAGGGGGGCCGAGATGCCTGCCCTCGAGCAGTTGGAGGCCCTACCGCAGCCCACCGAACTCCCATTCCTGCCCAGCAGTGACAAGGCACCCAAGGAGGCTGCGCTGGGGAGCCCGGACTTGCAGCCATGCCTTCCCCACAGTGTCAGAGGAGGCTTGCTAAGACAGAAGACTGACACTCTCATCATGACTAGAACATGGAGGAAACAGTGAAAACCACGGTCAGACCAAGAACCAGGACAACCTCAAGTTGAACAGGAACGAATGGTCCACAGATGTCAGCACGGGGACCAGACGCTGGAATTATCTGACCAAGACTTTGAAGCTGTCATCTTAAACATGCGCAACAGGCAGTTAGGAACACACTTGACACAAATGAAAACAAAACAAGACAAACAAAGACAGCAAGTTTCAGCAGAGGAGAAAAACCACCAAGTGGAAATTTTAGAGCCAAAATGTACAGTATCACTCTTCCAGAGCAAAAACAAATCCACAAAACTAACCTCCTGGGTCCTCCCTGGAGCTGCCTTTTCGGGACTGGCCCCAGCCACACTCTTCCTCCGCTTCGTATTTCCAGGGGGAGACTCCTCTCGCGATCGTTCTAGTCTCTTCAACACCGGCCGCACGCTAGAGCTACACGGGGGAGGTGAGTCGAACAGCTTGCATCGATTGCCCTTAAGGGAATGAAAAAAAAAGACAGATCAACTTTCACTGAAACCAGCTCACCTTAATGGCCAGGCAAATAGGCTAAGGACTTCCCGGCTTCAGATGGATCCTAAATTAGGAAACTGACATGTCCATTCAGCAAGTCTCAGCCACTCCCACGGGTCCCGGCCCGTAGCCGGCACTTGGCGCTGCATGAATTCGTGCTCAGCTGACAGCACACAGGAGTAAAATACTCTCTGCCCGCCAAAGCTTACTTCTACATAGGGCCCTACAAGTGAAGGAGCGACTGGGCCACCAGGCAGTACGGTGGAGTGCGTGTTGGATCGCAAATGGTTGTCTGTATGGTTTGAGTCCTGGACTCACCGACTTGAAAAACATGCTGGGCGTCTGTGCATGCATGCCCAAAATCCAGAGAATGGAGAAGGGACAGTGTTGTGGCCATCTCCTCTGGGGAGTGATTTCTCACTTTCCCTCTGGAGCGTGCATGAACCCAATGGCAAAAATCAAAAAAGAAAATGGAAGGGAACCAGCAGTTGGCATAATGGCTATGTCGCTGGACTCCCACGTAGTCGACCGCGGTTCGCGTCCCGGACCCGGTGGCTTAAATCTCACGCCGGGCGCGTGTGCGTGCATGCCCAAGATCCCGAGAGGAGAATGGAGGAGAAAGGATTGCGGCGTGACCATCCTCCCTGGGGGGTGATTTCTCGCTTTCTGTCTCTATGTCTCTCTCTGTCTGTCTGGCGAGCGCACGCGCCCTATAGCAAAAACCTCTCAAAAAAAAAAAAAAAAAGAAAAGAAAACGGAAGTGGCTGTCACCTCTCGGAGGCGCTGGCGTTTGTCTTGCCTCTCTCCGTTTGATCACTGGTGCCTTGCTGGAGCACTCAACAGGTTTTAATACCCCACCTAAATCCAAAGAGGATGTAAGGTAGCTAGGCCATGTTATAAAACAGACACTGTGGCCGGCAGGTGGCATGGTGGTTGAGGCGCTGGACTCCCACATGGCCGACTGCGGTTTGAATCTCAGACCTGACGGCTTACTTTCTCACTTTCCCTTTTCTCTCTCTCTGGTCAAATTGTAAAAATAAATAAATCAATAAAACGAATAATTATCTTTAAAAAACAGGCACTAACTTTGTCAGGGGTATGCTTGAATGAGGCGGGGTGCAGGGCAGCAAGTACCTCTCCATCGTGTCCAGGCGGCTGGACTGACGTGAAGCAGTAAACCTAAGGTACACACTGGACGTGCGTGCCATGCTCTGGAGCTGGCTAAAGCTGGGGGTGGATGGTGTTGTCGAGAAACTATGTGGGGCTCATGAAAGAAAGAAAGTAAACTTAAAAACAAAAAATAGGAGCTGGCAGGTAGTGTGGTGGTTAAGGACGCTGGACTCCCACATGGCCAACTGTGGTTCAAGTCCAGGATCTGGCGGCTTACTTTCTCACTTTCCCTTGCTCTCTCTCTCTGTCCCTCTTTGGTCAAAATAAAATAAATAAATAAACAAAGTAAATAAGGTGAAATAAAATAACTCTTAAAAATAAATAAATAGATAAATACAAAAAACTCCCAAGATCTTTTAAAGAAAAAAATCAAAATTGTGTTCAGAAGTAATTGCCTTGGGCCAGCCAGTGACCTGGTGGGGAACGAGCTTGATTCCACATGGCACACCAAGTCCTGGACCTGATGGCTTGAGAAACAGGGGCATGCACTGTGTATGCATGCTCAAAATCCCAACAGGACAGAGACGGAGAAGGAACTGCAGTGCGACCATTCCTTACGGAGATGCTCTCTTCCTCTCCCTCTCTGTCTCTGGTAAGCACACCCACCCTACAGCAAGTTAAAAAATAATAAAAAATATAAACATCCTGTGAGGCTTAGCCCGGCTTCTCCTTCTGTGCGTAATGTCCCTTCATGTCTCGGGGATTAAAAATATGTATGTATAAACATCCTGTCAGTTCCTGCTGCTTGTGCCAAGAATTGTTGTAGATGCTGTGGAATATAAAGTGAGGATGATCTTTTTTTTTTTTTGTGTGTGTGTGTGAACTTTTTGCTATAGGGTGTGCATGCGCTCGCCAGACAGACAGACAAAAAGCAAGAAATCTCTCCCCCAGGGGGGATGGCCATGCTGCAATCCCTTTTCCTCCATTCTCCTCTTGGGATCTTGGGCACGTGCACACACGTGTCTGGCATGAGTTTAAGCCACTGGGTCCAGAATTGAGCCACAGTCGACTACATGGGAGTTCAGTGACAGCCATTACGCCAACTGCTGGTCCCCAGATAGGCTTTTCAACCTGCATAAAGCTAGAAAGGTCCCTGGTCCCTCCTTACCCATAGGGCTTATTTAGATTAGAGAACATGCAGAAAAATGGAATGCAACCCTTGAGGACGGTGTGTAGGTCGTTAAGGTCCCCGAGTCCATTTAACCCTTGGCTGCACCAGCATACGGGTACTCTGTCCAGGGCCCAACTATGAAGGCTCCATCCAGAACTTACACTGGAACTTAGGAGGTTTGTGGTTCTTCTCATGACAAGGGGAGCTGTCCACAGGCTTGCCATGCACGAAGGGGTCTCCTCGTCATTCTAAAGAAAGAGAAACCAGTTTGTAAAAGATCAAGCAGAAACTAACATTAGTTTAAGTGTGATTCTGTGTGAAGAATGCCAGAAACGCCTGGGTAGGGAGTTATCTTAATCTACCCTCTTAGGAGTCCCCAGCCCTAAAGCCTTTAGGCCAGAAGATAGTCCTAGTATCTGAATGTAAATGAAAGTACCCCTCCTGAGGACTTGAGAGTTAGGGTCCCCGGCCCCTTCAGTTTTCTGCCACTTGGTCACTAGCCTCACTCTGCTCTTTCATGTTTGCTGTTCATACATAATTAGCAACTTCAGGGTAAGAAGGAGCATCCCGAAGTCTCCTTTTGGACTTTGCAGGATTTAATCAGGCCAGAGGCAGAGTTTCAGTAAACCCTCACCAAATGGACAAAACACGGGCCATCAGGGTCCAGGGAGCTGCCGTCCTCCACGTGACTTCTCCAGGGTGGCTGGTGGAGCGGACAGTTAAAACACACAACACCCCACCCACCAGTACCTTCAGACTCTCTCCATCGAGAAGGTCCATGAAGCCGTCATCCTCATCAGACAAAGTGGACGTCACAGGTGACTGCGGCATATAGAGCGGGGTGCGACTCCCGGGTTCGGTGTCCCTCCCATTTGAGGAAAGCTGGAAGACAGTTTAGAGCGTATTCATAAATGAAAGCCTTGGTCCACCTTTACGGGGTCCCTAGTTTTTACGATAGAAACCTCCGACGTGCTACTCTGGTAAGACTCCAGCAGCTCCTGTTTAAGGGAACACGTGTCCTACCCAACGGTGATAAACGACCAGATGCCTGCAGACAGCACCAGGTGGTGGCCACGCGGCCTTCACGAAGACTTCCCAGAAGCAATACACCTTACGATGGGGCTGGGAAAGCCGCCTGTGAAGAACAAGGCCACTTC